TGAGCCTTCTTCCAGCGAAGTATCATGCAGATGCTGATTCAAGTGTGACACTAGGAGCTCTTCAGAATTGTCAGGGGGGTTCCTTACAAACAGCTGGTACAAAGAAGGCTCATCACAACGACTTCAGATGGTGAGGAGATTCTACTTCAACATGAGTTCATTGTGGGTAACGTCACTTCATGTCTGGTTTCATTGGGACAGCTTTTTCAGGGTGGATGGTCGATTCAAAAGGATGATGATGGTAGCTTGCAGTTGCAATCCCCTGGAAACGAGGTGAGAATTTTTGTGGAGTACAAGAACCGCTCTTTTGCAATCAAAGCCCATGTCCGACAGGTTGCAGACACTGGACAATGCATGGCACTTGAACGCAATGATGAGTATGTCGTGCGTACGGTTGTGTATGCTGAAGATGAAATTGAAGATTCACCTCTAGATGAGTGGCAAATGACTGCAGATGGCACTCCATTCGTGAAGAAGCTGACCACAAACTTTGTGAACCCAGAGCCACAGTGGCCTTTCTGGCCCTACAGGAACACACTGATCCGGAAACATCAGAAGGACAAGGCATGGACTGTTGTTGTTGTTGTTGTTGTTGTTGTTGTTGTTGTCGAGGAAAATCAAAGGAAGGCGTGAACCTTTTGGAATGATTTTCAATTTCTTCTTACAATTGGTTTTGAGGATGAATGTGAGTCATTGACACTATTGGGTGTTGAACCGCAAACTTTGCTGGATTTTGGTTTAGTAGCAGTTGGCGATGAAGGCGATGTGATGTTCAATCAAGAGGACCTAGTGGTAACAGGCCTACGAGATGAGCAACCTTCTTCAGGAGCTGCAGCCAGTTCTAAGGTTCCAGATGTGCTTCCACCAGATGATGGGGGCCAGCACCGTGTCATTCCAGAGGTCGAGGCAGGTGATGAGATTCAGGCAGCTCCAGACGTTCAGCTTGAGATGGAAGATGAATCATTGACAGCTCATGAAGATTTGAATATCACACCGACCTCAAGTGTGAAAGTGCTTCGTGATGCTTGCAAGTGGTCAAGAGTTTCACAGTCAGGATCAAAGAAGCGCATGTTTGATCGATGCAAGAAGGCGATGGAGGAAACATACAGGAGAAGCATTTTGGAATCAGCTCAGGAGCGGTTCAGAGCTCAGAACCTGGATGCAGTACCAGTGGTTGCTCCTCCACAGCCTAGTGACCATGCGCGTGCAATTCACAACCTCACGCGCATTCCATACAAAGCTTGGTGAAAATATTGTGTGATGAGCCGAGCACGTGATGATCAACATTCTCATGCTCCTGACCCTGCAGGCGAGGCACAACGTGAAACTCCAACAATTCAATGTGATTTTTTAATGTGGGCAGGAAAGGAAGGCGCTGTAGTGGCATTGCTGGCAGTAGATGTATGGCCAAGGTATGTTGCAGTGGCACCCCTGAAACGTCGAAAGGCACAAACAGTTGGACAAGCATTGGTGAAGTTTATCAGCGATGTTAGGACGGACCAGTTGAGATTGCCTCTGACAACGAGCCTGTTCTGCTAGGTGGTGTGGCTTTCTGCAAGGGCAAAGGCTGGTTTGACAACAATTGTGAGTCCCAACAAGGCCTTTGACAAGGGTCGTACAAGCATAGCTGAGAGGTTTGTGCAAACGGTCAGAGGAATTCAAAAGACTTTGATCAGCCAGGTTGAGGATCAAATCGAGGCAACAATCCCTGCTGGACATCCACTTATCCAGTGGGCGGCAATGCATTCAGCGTGGCTCTATGACAGGAACCATGTCCACACCACGATGAAGGTAACCCCGTACCAGTCATTGCATGGAAGGCCTTATCAAGGTCGACTGGTTTGTTTTGGAAAGACGGTTTATGGGCTTGACCCCAAAGCTACAAAGTTCAAGCCAGCATGGCGCAAAGGGGCCTGGATTGGAAAGGACAGTGCAGGTATGGACCTTATTGCAACTGACGGGTTGTGCATTATATGCACAAAGGCCATGAGAAAGGTGAGTGACCAGTGGGATGCAGATCTTCTTATTGGCATGACAGATGGTCCCATGGATTTCTTTGGCCACCGTCAGGTGAAAGCACGGCAGAAAATTGTGGCACTCTCAGCACCCATTGCCCAAGAAGTTGACGAAGATGCAGAAGCTGTCAGGGATCTTCCTTTGTCAGAAGGGTATTCAGCATCAGAGCCTTTGGATGATGATGAGCTGAAGCTACGTCAGGATTTGGTGGAGGGGCAAGCTTGGGAGGATGTTGGATTGGAACAGTTTTCAGAAGCAGGAGGCCAACTTCAGACTCCTGACACCGGTGGGCCGACTTCCCCAGGTATGATGGCGCCAGTGACGCCGCAGATGGGTGTTCCAAGCGACCACAAGATCAACACAAAGTTGAATCCAGGAGACATGAACGCAAAGCGTCTTGGTGGTGAAAGGCGCAAATTCCTGTCAAGGCTGATGAGCCTATTCTGTGCGAATGCCGATGAGGAAAATGATGACAAAACAGTTCGCCAGATTCGACGCGTCAACATGGCAACACGCAGACAGTGTATTAGGTTGATTCAGATTGCAGGTACAGCAATGGGAGTTTGTTTGCAGTTGAAAGGATGCATGAAAGATGACAGTGAACATCTTGAGCCTGCCGCAGGTGGAAACGTGCCCGAGCCCTACAGCGACCGGCAGCTAGCATGGTGGATGTTTGTGGACTGGTGCTTCGCTACTTTTGGCGATGTGACTGCTGGTTTGGTGATGGTGTTGCAAGGGCCTATCTTCTATGCAGTGCAGTTGGCAGGCATTGGTGTTCTGGCAGTGGCAGGTGCATTCTTCCTGGCAGGACCTCTTTTTTGGCGACATTATTTCTTCCTGCGTGGCTTTGCACTCAGGAATGCTCCTTGGCTGATGGGCATTCGATTCAGGTTCATCAAGATGGCTCTCTGGCTTGGATTGTGGCTTTTAAGAAGGAGGAAATCACGTACCTCCACAATCGCTTCAACGAGTCCAAGGCAAAGTGGAGATATGATGATTGATTTTGAAAATGCCTACAATGCATGGGATGAGCACCTCACAGGAGGACAGTATCCAGTTGGAGCAGCAGCAACTCTTTCTCCTGAACCAGCTGTGGAAGAAGAACCCATGGCAGAGCAGCAACCATTCCCAGAAGGAGTGGACTTAGCTGAGATGGCGCTCAATCATGTTAGGCGCAACGGCATGGAGGTTGACAGAACAATTCATGAAACTCGAGCAGACGAAGAGCGTGACGCAGAGATGGCAGAAGATGGTGAGAGCCAGATTGACGAGGACAACGCTATCTGAATTCATCACAAGATGAAGTCAGTGAACTAGATGAATGGGCCCGCATTCATTACGCTGGACTACCGTGGGACGATTATGACAGGATGGTTGCACTCAGCCAGGCAAACAGGTTGAGATTGCAAAATGCAGTGGTGTCCCTGAATGAAAGGAGACAACAGGCAGAACCATAGCAATTTTCTTTAATACTGGGATCATATTTCATTTGTAGCGCAGATGGCTTGGTATGGAGCCAAACGCAAGTTGAATGTGATGACAGCTCAAACTTGACCTGTCACCAAGGTGGGGTGTGACATTTTAGTAGTTCCACTGCATGGCATGTATAGGTCCCAGGTGTAAAGGTGATACTGAGAAGATTAGCATGGCCGTGATGCAAGGATGACACAAGCACAAACCGATGTGCATGACCGGGCCTATAGTGGCTCAAACAACCGCAGCAAAACAGAAGCTGTGAGCGCACCGCTGAATCCTGACAGTAAACATTTCAACTGTCTACATGAAAACATGTACAGATGTAAATGTGTAGTATGTGCAGCGTGTGTGTTTGTGTGTGTGTGTCCATGTATACCGACAAAAAGGGCCCAAAAAATCCTTGAAGAAATCCATATTTCTGAAAACTGCTATTCAGCATGTTCCAGCTGAGAAAAAGTCCACTAACATGAAATTGAAATTGGTGATGCATTTGGCAATTCCTGCTCAGTTCCCTGACCCCTTGGGGGAGGAAAGAAAGGGAGCAATATGCCATGTATATATATATATACAAACGCATTTGTAAGTAAATATGTACACAAAACATGACTTGTGTGTAAAGGTGTGTATACGTACATGTATACATACATGGATACATACGTGTATACAATCATGTATACATACATGTAAAATACACGTATACATACACGTATACATACACATATACAAACATGTATACATACATGTACACATACATGTATACATGCGTGTATCCATACATGTATACAGACACATATATATATATAATCATTATTAATTATTGATATATATATATATATATATACATGCATGCATACCATACCATACCGTACCGTACCGTACCGTGCCATGCCATGCCATGCCATACCATACATACCATACATACCATACATACCATACATACCATACATACCATACAAACCATACAAACCATACCTACCATACCTACCATACCTACCATACCTACCATACATGACATACATGCCATACATGCCATACATACCATATATACCATACATACCATACATGCCATACATACATGCCATACATACATGCCATACATACATGCCATACATACATGCCATACATACATGCCATACATACATGCCATACATACATGCCATACATACATGCCATACATACATGCCATCCATACATGCCATACATGCCATACATACATGCCATCCATACATGCCATCCATACATGCCATCCATACATGCCATACATGCCATACATGCCATACATGCCATCTATCCATCGATCCATCCATCCATCCATACATACTTAGTATGATCCAATTGATTGGTTCAAATTGTGGCTAGCCCCATGGCCCCCAAACTCCAAAATTTGGCAGAAAACCACCCATCGCCCCATTTCTAGCTGATCTGTGAAAATGTGTGGAAACTTGGAGAGTCAGTGTTGGAGACATGTACAGTCGGTGTAGAGCTTTTAGGACTACGATCCACCTTTGATGCCTCACGAAGTCGCACCTGCAGAACTCTATGAGGTCTGGGGGGTTGATCTGAGATCTGTGTTCCGAGCCTGCTGTGCCCCAAACCACAGTTGCGAGAAGTTGCCATGGTCCTGATTCCATATTGGGGAGACAGAATCAGATTGAACTGGACATTGAAAGCATCAGTTGACTTCTTGCGGAGGTCTATCAGGGGCCTCATGTGAAGCCGTTGAAAGTGATCCGAATCCGTCAATATCGTAAGGCAGGAGACACCTTGGGTGACTCAGTTTTGCAAGATGAATTGACTTGAGGAGAATTGAGGTGATTTTGGAGGGATGAATTCAAGTTGACATCTTTGTTCAAAAGCACCTGAACACAAATTGATTTTCCATACTCTGCATGCGTATTATATTAATCAGAAACTATGGTTCTTTGGAGAAGACTGAGACAGACAATAGATGACACCACCTGACAAAGTATACAACTGAAGATAAACATGCTGCAATGTGTTGCAACAACACAGCCTAGCCTATGGATCCGGGAGGCTGTTCCAAGGCATCTTCGAGAGCTGGGGCACTTTCAGGTGCAGTTGGGAGAGAAAATTTCGCGTGAGTCGTAAGTTGTTTACGAATGAGTGCGTTGGTTTGGAAACTTGTACTGCTGGACACCTTTTCGCATTTGTTTACAATGGAATTGATGTATGTATCTAAGTGTTTGATTTCGGACAGCAAGTGAACGTTGGCCCCAAGTTCCTCATGAGTGGGAATTTGGACAAACGTCACACAGTCTCTCTATTGAGAGGTATCAAAAGATGAGCCAAGATCAAGATCTCCTGCAGAGCACAGATCACCTCTTGGACAAAAGACACTTGGCACTGCTTGGCACCAACAAACAACGATCAAACAACGATCAAACAACGATCAAACAACGATCAAACAACAGACTGAGTTTGGCAGTTTGATGCTGGAGATTCACGGGGAGTTCACAGGCCACGTTAGCCATGTTCAGCACCACGGGCTGACAGCAGGGCCTCCATGCCTCAAAAAACACCTTTTAAATCCTTAAACTAACCGTTCAACTCTTCAAACAAGTCCAGGTTTTGTTAAGTTTTGGTCGTAAGCATTTTGTCAGATGGTGCTAACATGAACTCAAACCATGTACAGCCGTCTTGTTTGATTTAGATATTTCAAGAACCAAAACAATTGAAACTCTGCCAATGGACATTTCAACACTAGCTTCATTTTGTTGGATACACGGACCTTTCCATATTTGTGGCACCCAGGGGCTTACCCATTTTGTCTGTTTCTGTCGTTGGGCGCTGTAGTCACCCTAGTCCAACTCTAACTGACTCTGACTCTCTATAAAACTCGAGATGTCCAACTATAGTCTGAGCTGTTTTCCGCTCAGGTTTGCAGACTTCGGAGACATGTCTCTACCCAGGGGTAAAGGTGCCCGATTTGAGGCATGACTGGGAGTGACCCTGCCACTTTCATATTGAAAAATCCAGGTTAAGAGAATTTAACGCCAGCATGTGCCATGTTGCCATGTTGCAGTTACCCCATACTACTCCCATTGACAGGCTCCTCAATCTGATGATGAGAAGAAAGATGACGAGCTCAGTGCTCAGATTTCCCAGACAACAACATGTGCAGCTATGTACATTGATGCAGGGAGACCCTCGCCCTATCATAAATGAGGCAAACTGGAGTTGCTATTTTTAAGCTCTAAACAAAGACGTTTGTTGTACACGCATGCTGTATAATATAAAAACCACAACTATATAACCATGGTGTAATGAGGAGACTGAAAAATAAGTTTGGCTGGATAATATGATTTCAACATAAAGGACTCAAGCCAGCCAGCACTGACTAATAGGCATCAGAGGTGTTTTGTGCCTTGGAAGCCCACACCTGACGTCCAACTTTTTACGTCTTTCATTCATAGTTTTACGCATCTCCGCTGGATTGAGTACTACCCAATCATATATACACAATCATTGTGCAGGTGCGCTAGCCTGTACTGAGGCGACCGAGCATCCTGAAGGCAGCCTTGGTTTGCACATAGATCATAGATTGCTTGAAAGGGGTGAAACCGGGCCGTCTGTCCATTTGAAAGTGGCTTTGCTTTCAGTGCACTTGAGTGAAGATTGGCAAGGCAAACAAATTATCATCTCGAACTGACTCGAACTTCACAAACTTTCACGAACTTTCATGGCCTGACCCGCTTATTCTGACTCTGGAAGGTGCCAGATGATGGAATGGGTAGACGACCCACCAGCAGCCCGAAGCAATGTAAGTACTATGTAAGGACATGTACGGACTATGTAAGGACTATGTAAGCACTGTAAGCATCGGTTCAACTGGCCTTTCTTTCGGAAGGCGGATACATTGTTTTTCTCTCGGCATTCAAACCAGCAAACTTGCAGCATCAGAAGCGTGGAATCATGACTGGTTGCAAGAGGCCTCAGTTTTGCCGGACTCCAAAACCGTCTAACCTGGGAGATTGTACAACAAAGCTTATGTAAGCTTACGAGCAGCTGAGGCAAGAGCATCAAAAGTTCAAAGCAGCGAAGCATCTTGGCTTTGGTCAGTTGGTCAGTTCAACATGTTCAACTTGGTTCAACTGATGAACTACGGTGCACAATGGTGCACATCTCTACGCAGTCAATTGAATGGTACAAACGGTATAGGCCTGATCATGAGGAACGCATGCTAGGGCGGAATGGTTGTAAGCTGTAAACTATTGTACACCTTCATTCAGACAATGTCATGTATTGGTTGGATCATCAAACCATCCTCAAGATGATTAATCATCATTAGTTACTATCACTGGTATTGTTCTTAGTAGCAGTATCACCATGAAAATTGATGAAAATTAAACATTCAACGAATCCAACATGTTATCAGCATGAAAGAACAAGCAATAACTTGATACTGTCTGTAGGATCATATTGTCGATCATGTTGTCAATTTCCTCTGTGTTTGATGAATGACTGCTTCGGGAATGTTATTGTTCATCTCTGCTTTTTTCTTTCGACCTCAGGCACTGTGCTCTCGGAGACCTTGGCGGAGATTGTCAAGGAGCGTAAGGTGCTTCGGAACAGCTGAAAAGAAAAATAGGTGAAATGTTTTGGATGATGTTTTGTCTGAGCTTGTTGGAAATAGAAAGCCAAATCATCAGACCTTGACATCATACTTGATTTCAGGGCAAGCTGTTTGGCTGTTTCCATGTCTTTCGTTTTCTTTTCGGGAACTGTGGGCAGCATTGCCCCATAGAGTGCCGAGGCTGAAGAAATGAAGGATGCCTTGAAAGCTAAGATTTATGAAAAGGAGGGGGGGACGGGCCGGACTGGCCGGACGGGAGGACTTGGTCAGGACTTGGTCAGGACTTGGTCAGGACTTGGTCTAGTTAAGGATGCAAAATTGCTGTGCGTTGAGACAGAGACATTTGTTGTGGAGCTTCTTGTCACAAAACTAAGCCATTGACATGTTACTTCATTCCATGCTTATTTGAAGTGACTTGAAGTGACTGGAACTGGTCTATCGGTCTATCGGCAGATTGTCAAGTGGCTCGTTCCACCCATCCCTTGCCACTTTCATGGAAGTCTTGCTGATCTTTGCACTCTTTGCCATACAATGCTGAGCACGGAGGACATGATGGCGAAGAATGTTGGTAGCAAAGCAGCTGAAGTGGTGAAGAGTATGGATGTGGATCTTTCCAGGCTGGGATCTGTTGGGTTTCAAGGAAAACTTCTCTCCTTCCAGACTGCCGTACTGCTGGCTTACCTCAGCATGCTTCTTCTAGCCGTAAAGAATCATAGTCGCCTGGCCCATACCACGATTTTCGGTCGATTTGCACAAAAAGGATTGGCACATTCAACAGCTAGCTGATTGCTTAGTGGTCTATATAGTTGGACCGTGTGAGAGTGTATTGGACCATGTTTGACAGGCTGGACAAGCAGCGGCAAACCATGCACCAGTTCATCTCTTCCTCTTTCTTTGATTCCTTCATCGGTCTGATCATTCTGGTGAATGCCGTCATCATTGGATATGTATTTTGGCTGAAGGTGTGTGCCCCAACGGCCCCAACGCAGACTTTTGCACAATCCATTTGTTGCAAGCTAGACAACAGTTTAGTTGAGATTGGCTTTGGATTGAATGGAAATTCAGGTGCACAGGGTATTGTACTTATGAGCAGCACCGGGCAGCACCATACAAAACATTAAATCAAGTGGGACCTCCGATCCGGCCCCCTCCTTTGCGACATCCCTTTCATCACGTATCATTGTGCAGGCCTGTCGTGTTCCGCTGTTTGCTAACGAGCCGTATTTGACCAAGCAGAACATAGCATGGTCCATGCTATAGTCGAACCAATCCGACTCATCCATTCCTGCCTGCTTCAAGCCCGGTTCCAATCTTTGTTGAAATTTTCAGACTGGAGCCCATGTTTACAGGTTGGTTTCTGCTTTTGAAATGGCCTGGCACAGGCCTGAAGGGACAACAGTATTAGTGGTGGTCAATGAGCTCCTTGACATCCTATGCAAAACCTTGTAATCAGGCATCTACTCCAAAGGCAAGAAGTATTTTGTTAATTAGGTTATAGGAGAACGGAGACAGATGCCTCCCTGCCAACCTGCGAACGCTGGCCTTGCTACCAAAAAAATTGCGCAGCAAAATGATGTGGCTTTTGATGACATCCTGGACAAATGACCGTGACGAAGCTTAAAAGCCTGGCTCCCCACGCACCCCGTCCAGTCTGGCTGAGTAGGAAACTCTGGGCCCCATAGGGGTGGATGATCTTCTAACATTGGTCTTAGTCTGTGTTTGCATTTTCGGTTGCTCGAGGTAGATAGAGATACACACACAATGACAATCCCCTAATTGCATTTATCTTGAGATCCAAAATGTGGAGGAGCTTGTTTGGCTATGGGATTGGAGCTCGCAGAAAGTGTGCCTGCATTGTTTTGTAGAGTTCTGCCACTAAGGAAGCTGAATTGAGCGTCCAAATACCATTTGGTTGTGATGAGCAATGCAGCTTGACAGAAAGTGACAGAAACTCACAGAAACTGACAGAAACTGATTGAAGAATTTGAAGATTCTAAGTTCCAAGAAGGAAACAGGCCCAGTCCGAAGCTGTTTTGATGTGTCTGTCAAGTTCATGGCCATCCTGGGCCATCCCGGGCCATCCCGGCCTCCAAATGTCAGGCAAGTGCGACCAGGCAACCTCGACAGGGAATTGCTTTGCGATGCCTCAGTGGCTACAGGTCGGGAGCTCGAGGGAAAATAGGATTGATCAAGCCATTGAAAGAAGCCTTTGAGCTTTTTGGTTTGGATCAAGTTGGATCCATGAAATGCAAAACGTGTTGATTTTTCTTCAGAAGGGTGTCGTCGTGTAGTTTTCTGGATCTTGATTTCGCCGAAATACTTGGAATTCATACGGCAGAACTTAGACGGCTCAAACTTTTGGGGGAAGGATGTTCAAGGTCCTGCGAAAGCAACTTCCAAAGCGAAAAACCAGCCTTTTGATTTTTTCGATACAGGGCCACTTTGCCAAACCCTACACCAGAACGCTTTGGCTGGAGGCTGTCGACTACGTCTTTGCGGCAGTATACATCGCAGAATTTTGCTTGCGGCTGTATACCTATGGCATCCCTGTACTGCGGACACTCGACATGTACTCTGTGAAATAGAGACGAACTCTTCGTGCATCTGGAGGCTATGGGAGAAATTTGTCCTTATGCTAAGAAATTTGATAGCAGCCTTGCATATGCACCCAAACATCTAACTGGTAGATGGGACATGTTTGGGAAATCCGTGGCCTTAAGTGATGCCAAGTTTACTCGGGATGCTCAGACACAAGCGTGTTGGGAGGGGAAACGCCTTGGACAAGGCGTGCCTTGATATCCTTGATAGATATTGATAAATATGGACATATCACGAAAGCTAGCGTCAGCTAGCTGGAGTCTTCTTGCTTTAGCAAGTATTCCGGGGGCTGCTCAAGGACATCAAGTGATTTTTCACGCGAAAGGGGGGGACCCCCCCCTCCCCTCCCCCCCCACCACCACCACCACCATCACCACCACCACCACCACCACCACCACTGAATGCGAGAATTATCACCCCAGAAGAGTAGATAATTGCAACTGAGAATGTGGACAACTCTGCTTGACAGCTCACGCCCTTTTTGTCTCACTGTGCTAGCAGAATTTACGCCTCCTAATCTTGAGCCAACATGTTGTTGGCGGAATGCTGATCTCATTGATCAAAGGAAGCACGATGCGGCTGAGCATGTTCACAATGCTGTGGCAACAGGGAGAGCTGAAAGCTTGGTTGCGGTCAAATTCTCTAATTGTTTCCAAACTCACATTCGGTTCAGACGTCATGTCTGCTTACTCTAGTTCGGAAAAAAAACTCTTGCAAATTTGCACGGCTCTCAAATTGGAAATGTGATCAAAAGCGGTTGAAAAACTTCGATCTCACAGATTGCTTGGACCCAGGAAACGCAAGACAATAGGAGATCATCAGGATGTTCAAAAAAGTCTCAACCGTGGAAACGTCGCAAAACGATTTCTGAGAAGCTTCAAACTCATAAGCTGTACCGCAGCTGATTATAAATTCCTCTTTCGCACGTCTAAATGTTTCTCCAAAATTGAAATCACTGTGTGAATTCCGCGTTCGAAATCTCAATGCTCTGTCAAAGATTGAAATCACTGTTCCGCGTTCGAAATCTGAACGCGCTGTCAGGAAAGTTGGAAATCAAGCTCTAAACTGCATACGACTTGCTCAAATCGCACAAAACGTGTCACATGCTATGCAGCAAAAGACACTTTCACAAATCTCTGAAATCACTTGAAAAACTCGGAGAAAATTATTCCAAGCTGGCAATGCAAGCTGAATGGCACAGGATGAGTTTACAGCATCATCAAGCAAGTTCAGCTTACTGTCTTGGAGGAGGTTGTAAAGAGTTTTGAGGTGTTCGGAGGAGCGCTCAAAGGGATTGATGGCATGCTGAAAACAAGCAAATCTCTAGATCCAAGTGTCATACTTAAATGGCTGTCGCTTTGCTCATGCATGTGGGTATGATTTGATATAGTATCACGTGAAGTCAAATAGACTTGAAGACTTTGCTAAAAGCAAGTTTGTTTTTTTGTTTTGTTGGGGCAACGTTTGCTTGTAGCTTGCAGCAAGTGATTAGTGATTGGTTGAGAGTCCGCCAGCGACCAGACAATGAATACGCATCGAAAGAGGTGTATGACATTCGCACCCCCTTTCGCTGGCTGAATCTCAATTGCATGGCCCATCGGCTCATCATCTCACTGAAAATCGCACGTCCAGGCCTGATCGGGCTCTGGCAGCTAGCTTGGCATCTCTATTGTTTTTTTTTTTCTCGGAGCTTCTCCCAGGCAGGAAAGAATGCAGAAAACAACGACGGTTCAAACTGGGTTCTCAAGCAGTTTCTTCATGGAATATCGGATTTCTGTCATGCCAGGCTCGAAAAACCGGTATGCTGGGAGTGTGGACTTGGCCATGTCCTTGCCAATGTAAACATCTCGATAGGCCTGAGCGATGATGCTACACATCGAAGCAGGATAATGGCTTACTTTGTCCCAATTGACTGCATTGAATGCAACGTGACTTTCACAATTGCACTCTGTGTGATTTGCCAACGATCTGGCTAAACTTGGATGGGTTCCCAACCACAAGAAAATCTTTCCAACCTTAGGATCTGTTTCAGGAAAACTGCAAAGCCGAGGGAACTGTGCATAGATATGGCGACCTACTTTCACAAAGAAATCTGCCATGAACTTACTGTTCCAATACCTATTTCTCTTGGGTAGCTCGAAAGTGAACTCATCTGCTGCAACGGCGAGGCTTGGGCTCAGTTTCAAAATTTGTTCCAACTCAGAAACTTGCGTTGATTCAGTGGGCTCGGCATCTGCTGGGATATATTCAGTCGTGTCTGAATTTCCTGAAGGCTGAAGGGAGAAATGCACATAAACAGGCTTACCTTTCTTTGAAAATCGCTGCACAAGATCACTGAGCTGGGCATGAAACATTGTGAAATCTGCCCTTGTGGAAACTCGGATGACTGCCATTTGAATGTCTCCACAAAAACTGGCTTGAATCGACTCGGTTAAATTGCTGTTCACACCGCAACATATTTCCAAGAAGATCCCTGAAAATTTACTAGGCGACAATTCTGGTAAATTGGCTTCTTGTGTTTCTAAGATCAAGCTCAATGGTTGTGAAGCAAACGGTGATGGATCTGATTTCTGGGCGTCTGGCACAAAGACTGTGGAAGCAAGCACGTGCTCTTCATCTTGGGAGTTCGACTCCAAAGACTGAACATTCACTGACCCCGGCCTACCCCCATACAAAATGCTTTGGATTTGATTCGTCTTTCCTTTCTTCTTTTTGGCTGTCTGCTTTGTTTGGGATTCAGATTGTTGGTCTGCCAGTTTGGCTGGAAGTTCTGCTGATTCAATGAATCCCATTGATGTCCTGAATTTCAAAAACAGCTTTATTCCTAAACACTTGGTCAAAATATCTGCAATTTGCTGTGAACCCTCGACCCATGTGAGAATGATGGTTCTTCTTCGGACCATCTCTTGGCAGAAACAAATTCTCAACTCAACATGGCGACTGCGTCTTTGGAGCCCTGGTGAGGTCAGGACTCGGATGGCTGCTTGGGAATCACAACGGACTTCCACCTCAATGGCTGTGGCATGTTCAAGGTCTTCATCAACTAATCCAAAAATCAGGGAGTTTGCAAGACTGTGTATTCGATCTGAAGCTTGAAAACTTTCATGGATGTTGGTCACATGCGCGTGAGTTTCTAGAAAAAGATGCTCAGAGATACGCTTGATTCCCATGCTCTCTTGAAAGGATTCAGCTAATGCTGACAGTTCCGACTCGCAACTTGAAAGTGCGACCACTTGTTGCAATCTTGTGAAAGCTTTGATGGACCCGCGATAAAAAAACGCACGCGCCAGAAATTGATCTACGCTTGAGAAAGCGCATTGGGGCCCAGCTGGCATCACAGTAGATTACCAAGCGTTGCGCTTCTTGTTCCTCGATGGTTGCTTCGGGAGATGGGAATCTCTGGTAAATGCCTCTTTGGCTTTTCATGAATTTCAACACTGATCTCAAAGCCTTTTCATGGCGATCTTGCGGTGTGGCCATGCCTGTGGCTAGCAAAGCTATGTATACATTGATGAAAACATATGTTTGGGACATCCAGGACAGTTTGCCTAAGGCTGCTCTGTACCGCATGGCCGCATCTGGGGATAACTCATCAGACTTGGAACTGTCTTCAAGTATCGGTCGAAGATCTGGAGGATTTATACTGGCAGTGCTGATGCTGTAGGCCTCAAACATACCATCTAAATAGTTTTCATCCAGACTGATGGTAATCTCTTTGCTGTTGGATTTTCTTTCGATGTTGCGGCCAAGAAAACGCAAACTGCCACCCCCTTCAAAACTTCGCTCTATAAGCCCCGTGCGTTTTACTTTTAGGTGTAGGGCCAAATGGTCTTGAACGGCAACTGCAAATACCTTACTCGGGGCAAACACGAGCAGATCATCAACGTATGCAACTACTTGCACCCATGCCTTTCCATGCCCTTTGACTGAAACTTCTCCAGAAAAAACAGTTGTTTCAATCAAAGACGGTTTGATTCCTAACTCTTGCAGCAAGTGGCTTAAGTGTTCTACCCAAGCCAAACCGCTTGTTCTCAAGCCATTTATGGCCTTGAATGCTTCGAGGAATATCGGGCTACCATCTGGAAACTGCATAGTATTTGGTGGCATCTTCAGAATGACTTTGATGGGTTTGCCAAGACGCCGGCCTAGCGGAGAAGCCATGAATGCAGCACTGATGTCCAGGCCTAGAATCACCAGGTCCAGGACTGCTGCTTCTGCAATGAGGATTCTCAAAGATTCAATGCTGGAAGTAGGCGAAGAAACCATGAGGTCACGGGCAGAACTCTTTCCTTTTGCCATTTCCCGTGCAACTAGTCGCATGCGAACATTCAAGGGATCTTTCTCAACACAAACCCATCGGCAAGTGATTATACTAATCTGCCATTGCTTGGCAAGACGCTGGGCTTCCTGCTCATGGATTGGTCTGCCAACCTTCTGACTGGTCATGGAATCGATTTCAGTGCGCATCCCTGCATACGCAAGGTCTTTGTCGAGATATTGGCCATTGGCGTCACTGATGACATATCCAGGAAACAAAAGTAAAATTTCTTCCCCACAAAGGTTTGCCTTGCTGCTCTTGGGTTTCACTCCGCGGATCTGATAAACCGATTGCAACATGCCAATGTGACGCTCTTCTAAATACGAAAGCTCAAAGTTATCCAAGGCTGTTACCAAATCTAACTCCATAGCTTCCGTGGCTGTAGGTTCGCCTCCAGCAGCTGCAAATTCACTTAGGTCTACCATTCCGTCAGCAGAGTCGTCTACTTCCATGTCATGGATGATTTCTGGCTCGTCCAATGCCTTTGGAGAACTGGGTGCAAGGCTGGGCGAATATGGAACATCATGTGGATTCTCATCGAGATGTTGACCCCCTTCAACTGGGAGACTTTCTGGTATGGGTTGATTCTCTGGAAGATCAAACGAAACTCGTTTCTCTCTGTTTGCTGGAAAGTCTGGAAACCTCTGCTGGATGGGTTCATCAGCTTCA